TGCAGCACATACTTGGTTTATTTTTCCTTCCTTCGGGACAGAATTACACAGCCATAATTCTGATTGCAAAAGAATCATTGTTCTAGTGTATAATGGCCTGACGTAGTAAAAAGACAAAGGTATTTCAGGTGTAACCACAGTAAATAACTGAAAGACTAAAATGCAAACCTTCTAGGCAAACCACACCAAGGCAAAAATTCTAATTAATGTTAATACATGTAGGAAAGTAATAGCGCACTGAAAATGTGCCCCAAGTCATTTTAGTTTATTCCAGCAATGCAAACCCATAATGCCAGAAAAGCCTGACTATCTTCAGCTTTGCCCCTAGAAGCCCCCCAACATATTCTGTCCTACAGAGGAAGTCATCCAACATGTGCAGAATTCATGCTAACATACACTACAGATGTTATAATTAGCAGACAAGGGCAAAATTTCATTATTGCTCCGTCCTGTTGCAGAATGTTTCAAAACTTAAAACACTGGTTACCTTGAACAGCAATCCCCCTTCCTGCGCCATCTACTTACAGACCAGTTCTTGCCACTGTGTTGCTCCAGACTCACAGTAATGCCCAAAACATTAAACACATGAAGTCAAGTCCTCTCCATTTGAGATACCTCTTTTTACTGGTCTTCTGAACTAGTATATTTTTATATTCAGTAGAACCTCTGCTTCCACTAACAATACAGTAATGCAAACTCACACTTACTCTATCATTTACACCTTCATGAAAGCGTATTGCATTGTGCCTGCTGGCAGTCACTCACACAGCAGATAATCTGTATGGTCAGGTATAAGGCAGAGAAGACAACAGCTCACTTTATTAGTCTTTAGTATATTAATCTTTAGTGCTGAAAACCTCACGGGTTCAGTATTTGTCCTTCGAGCATTATCTCCTTATTTCAAAAGCTTAACAAAAACCGATTCAACTGTCTTGAAATAGGAAAGTTTTCAAAAACAGCTTCCTGGAGAAAAATCGAAATAACATTGCTACAATATCCCTCCACGTGCATCAGAAGGGTTAACTGTGAAGCTCAACATGCAATGCTCAGTATGGAGCATATATATTTAGAAGGCAAAACCCAACAGAAATTAAGAGAGTTACAGATGCCCGAAGTCTGCATTCTGTGAAGGGAGAACCTTTGAATGGATGTCAGTGGGCATCCGTATCAAGTGCTTAAAGAGGGTTAAGAATTTACACTGCTGTAATTTCTTAAAGCAGCTTAAAAGGTACTTTCAGCTCCTTCCTTGTTTAAAGATAAGAGAGACCATGGGTCTTATCGTGAGTCTTGTGATGTTAAGTTACATACATCTGGCTTCTGGAATCCTATAAGACACAGAATCCTTACTAAAAAAAAATACAATCATGGTAAAAAAATCTAAAAACATGAGTGAAGTGCACCATGAAGGTTCAAAACCAAACGGTAAATGAAACAGATAATGCCTTTAATTTAAACTAGTATCTTTCCAGTTAACCTCATAATTCTGGGAGTATGACATGATTTGAGATTTGAGTTGGGCAACATCAGGAGAAGTCGTGGTGCCAATTTAAAGTGGCTCCGTTGCATGTATGTTACTGCACCCACCATGAAGCGTATGAATTTAGCTGTATACCATAAGCAAATTAGTTTTATTGTGGTAAGCGTACTGTCAAGATGAAAGTGTTAATTGTTAAAGCTTAGGAGCATATTACCAAAATATTTTGTATATACTGTGTGATGAAACATTAGAAACTGGACAAACACGTGTCTCATGCTGCAGACACCATAAGCACTGGAAAACAATTCACTCTCTCAGACTAGGAAGTGATAATTTGCTGAATATTCTTATGGATTGTGTGCAAATCACTAGTGCTTTTTTAACAGCTCTTCCTCCTCCCTGCCAAGGAGAGTGAGATGGTGGTCATGTCTGAAATTCACTACTTCAGTTCTGTTTACATGTCCACAGTGTATGGAAATTGACATATCCTCTCCAAGCACCACAATGCTGTCCAGACTACTGGGAAGACATCTGGGGCATCTTCTTTTATTGGGGTGGTCCCTTCGGTAACACTCTCATCTACTTCAAAACCGTAAGATTTTTGTATCCTATAGATGTGGGATCCAACCATGCACCTGCAGCCCCTCCAGCTCCATGTGGCACTCCGGGATGGCCCTTCTCAGCTCTGGAAGTTTTAGCCTCACTCTTGCTACCTGCGATGCTTCCACCTTTTTATTCTCTAGGCTCCCTTCACAGAACCACAGAATTGTCTAGGTTGGAAGGGAGACCTTTAAGATCATGAAGTCCAACCGTTAACCTAGTGCTGCCAAGTTACCACTAAACCATGTCCCTAAGTCCAGCACGTACCCATCTTTTAAATACCTCCAAGGGATGATAATTCCACCACTTCCCTGCGCAGCCTCTTCCAATGTTAGATTACAGAATTTTTCCTAATATCCAATCTGGAGAAGGCTCCGGGGAGACCTTATAGCAGCCTTCCAGTCTCTGAAGGGAGCCTATAGGAGAGCCGGAGAGGGACTCTTTGTCAAGTGTAGTGACAGGGCACGGGGTAAGGGTTTTAAACTGAAAGAGGGGAGATTTATAGTACCTATTAGGAAGAAATTCTTTACTGTGAGGTTGGTGAGACACTGCCACACCTTGCCCAGAGAAGCTGTGGCTGCCCCATCCCTGGAGGGGTTCAAGGCCAGGCTGGATGGGGCTTGGAGCAACCTGGTCTGGTGGGACGTGTCCCTGCCCATGGCAGGGGGTTGGAACTCGATGATCTTTAAGGTCCTTTCCAACTCTAACCATTCTGTGATTCTGTGAACTTCACCTGGCATAACTTGAGGCCGTTTCCTCTTGACCGACTGCTAGTTACTTAGGCGAAGAAACTGACTAAGGTCTCCCTTCAGCCTCCTTTTCTGCGGGCTGAACACCCCTAGCCCCCTTCCTTACCCCTCAGGCAGGTTTTACAGCTCCGCTCACCCCGCTCGCCCCCCCTCGCCCCGGCTGCCTCACGGCTCCTCTCCTCGCGCCCGGCAGCTGCCACAAACCGCCGCCTTCCAACGGCCCCTGCGCGCGCCGGGAGAAGGCGGGGGGGGAGAGGCGGGGCCTCCCTCGCGTCACGTCACGGCCCCGGCCCCGCCCACCCCGCCGCCACGCGGCCGGC